AAAGGGAGTGTTGGTGGATAAGCATGGTAACTGAATTATTGATGCAATGCAACTAAAGAAAGGAAGAATAAGTAAAGCTCAAAAATTGTCTAAATGTTGTTCTTAGATTAAGCCTATATATTTATGTCGGTCAATATTATATCATCTCAATGGTGTATAACTTGACACATGTGCAATTTGTTAAATGTTTAATGAAATCATGTGTGTTGCACATAATCATAATCACGATGCTTTGATGAATTAGCAACAGCTATATAGCTGGTTTATAGCCGAGTTTCATGGATTGAATCCAACGTATTCGAAGGGAGCAACGTACTTTTTTTCTCGAAAGTTCATCTAGATATTCAAGCTTTGAATTCATTTCAATTTCTGGTTGAATTGATTGCAAATACGTAGAGAAATCTAGCGTAAAAGTTGATCAAACACTAACAAGAAAGAATGCACACAAGTACTAAATGTGTGTTGGAGAACACAAAAGCAGAAGAAAAAAAAACAAATCAAAATGAAGTTAAATTTATCATCTACCAACTCTATTGATATATGATCCAAACGAAAATGATGTAGAAGATAAAGCATTTTTCATGTCTTCAAAAGTAGGGTGTCTCTACCCTTCGATGTTCCATGGATAACCCGACCACATTAGAGTTGTTCTAATTTTGTGCAACAAGTTTAGATGCATTCCTTCCCCTTGAGACTGATCACCATCAATGCCATCATCGTTGCTTGCTCCTTCAAAGAACCTTCATAACTTGCCTAATTGTTGGCCTTCCATTAGCTTCTGGATATGCACACAACAAACCCAAATGAAGCAACTTCTCAACTTCTCCATGCTATATCCGTCTTTCACCTTGAGTTGTTCATCAAGCGCAAAGTTCAATTTTCCCCTCTCCATTAGTCTCCATCCAGACACCAACTCCTAGTACCAATATCCCAAAACCAAACATATCAATCTCAGCTGAGGCTCTTCCCGTTCGAATCACTTTTGGCGTCATGTACCCTGTCGTCCCAACCACTTGTGTCGTGCCAGTCATTTCCCCATGTTGGTGCATTCAGACCAATTTGAAATCCCCTGACCTAGGCATTCATATCCTTATCAAGTAACACATTACTTGCTTTGATATCTCTATGCAAAACCTTAGCTTCCCAACCCTCATGCAAATACAATTCAACACCTTAATTCTCTCTTCCCAAGTTAACAAGTTTCTCTATTTGCACACAAATATCCTCTTGTCCAAGCTACCATTTTCCATGTAATCATAAAACGAGATTAGATTGCATTTCTCTTTCTTGCACCAACCTCTTAGTCTTACCAAATTCCTATGCTTCAATCTTCCCAAGCTTGAAACCTCAGCCACGAACTCTTTCAACCCATGTTTACTTTCATGTGAGATTCTTTTAACTGCTACTTTTCCTCCTCCTAATACCCCGTATACATTTTCCCATGTCCTTCAATCCTGATCATTTTCTTCTCGGAAAATCCCTTTTTTCGTGGCATGTATCTCTTTGTAATCGATCCGGTGAGGCCAATACTCTGATTCCCAATCTTCAACTTTCTCTACATCCTCCTCATTTCCTCTCACACCAAGCAACCAAAAACTCGGCAATACTAACCCCCATGACAAACCCTTTTGATCCGAAAATAAACCTTTCTCCGACACTGCAAAGGAAGGCAAATTCTGAGTCACCAAAGCGTTGGCGATGGAGAAATTAGAATTGCTAAAACTCCAAGCCAATATCCAATGGCTCTGAGCCAATGCTCCAGTTACAGCACAAAACCCCAAGTACATTTCACCCAAAAGCACCCCGAAAAGATCTACCACCTCACTTATTAGAGGCCTCCGCGAACTTGAAAGTTGTGGTCATGGTCGCGGTTTTAAGTCTTGTGTAGGATATTTGACTTCATAATTAATGGAACTTTCACGAAAAGAACTTAGGTTAAGTTTATTTTAATAAAAAAAAACCATGCTATAACTTTACTTAATAAATAAGAATTAAATAATAATGAAAAATCCTTAAACTTTAATAAAAATGACAAAAGAACTTAAACTTTAATGAAAATGACACAATTTTAATATAAAAAAAATTATTAAAAAAAAAAAAACTGACACATGGGGACAAGTGCGTCCATCACAAACACTGTTTATGAAACTGACCACTATTTATGAAACTAAACGGTACTACACTATTTATTCGTTCAGTTTCATAAATAGTGTCTAGTTCTTGGTCCACTTTCATAAATAGTATCTAGTTCATGGTTATGTTTCATAAATAGTGCCTAGTTATTGGGTCCAATTTCATAAATTGTGTATAGTAATTGGTACAGTTTCATAAATAGTGTCTCTTTCTTGGTTCGGTTTCATAATTAGTATCTCGTTATCGGTCCACTTTCATAAATAGTGTCTAGTTCTTGATCATGTTTCATAAATAGTGTCTAGTTCTTGGTCCAGTTTCATAAATAGTGTGTAGTCTAGTTTCATAAATAGTCTCGACTATTGGTTTAGTTTTAGTGCCTAATTCTTGGTTTCGTTTCATAAATAGTGTTTACTTATTGCTCAAGTTTCACAAATAATGTTTACTTATTGGTCTAATTTCATAAATAGTGTCTACTTATTAGTCAAGGTTTATAAATAGTGTCTAATTCTTGATTCAGCTTCATAAGGTTTGAAACTTAAACCCTTTTTGGTCTATAAAAACACCCATTGCACTGAAAACGATGAATCCAGAAGTGATCGTTTAGATAAAAACCTTGAGAAGATTGTGTTCTCAGTAATTATACTTAAACCCTTTTTTGTGTCTTTTTTTTTAATTCTTCTGTTTTTATCATTAAATAAAGTTAGTAAATGATTTTCTATTAAAATGCAAGCATTTGAAGTTCTTTTTATTAATTTTTCCATTTTTTTAATCATATGTACAAATCCATCGTAAGGTATTAATTCAACGATGCAGAAGAAAGTAAAATAAATACAATTAAAGGAAGATTTATTTTCCTCCACCATTTTAGATTAAGATCGAACAATAAGTAACCATAACTTTCTTAGACTTTAAGAGCAAGTCTACTCATTTTAGAAGGGCAAAGGCAAGGCAAGGACAATGACATGTAAGTTGCCTTTACTATTCATTCTAAATAGTAGTTGCCTTTGTACAATTCCACTCGTTTAGAAAAGGCAATGACAAGAGCAATTACTATTCACAATATTTTTTTTTTATGCTAATTTATTTTTTGATGTTTTGTTGAAGTGTGAACTTTATAAGTAGAATCTCTTGAAAATAAAATGCTTGTCTGATTCCAATAAAGGTCAAACTAATTATAACATGTTAAATTGTTAATTACATTTTGTTGCATCCTCATCTCATTTCCCGTGTTCAGGTCATGAGTAGCACACACTTAGCCCTCAAGCAAAGCAATGTCTTCTGCAATCGACCAAATTGCCTTCTCACCCATTTTTTTGGTAAAAAAAAAAATAGAATTTAGAAAGTGGAAAACAAACAAAGAAGATGTAGTAAAAATGAATAGAGTTGTGAGGGGAAATGAAAAAGATGATTGAATATTGTTACCGTTGGATTAATCCCTGATAGTTGATTTTCAAACTGTTTTACAATTAGATACACCAGATTGTGCCATGTAGCACAATAGTAGAATTTTTACATTTGTTTACATTCGGAAATCTAATAGTCCAGATCAACGAACCGTTGAAATCCAACGATTGTTGCACAAGAATAAGAAGCCGTTAGGCTTTGTGGTTCGCACATGGGGGGCCCACTCGATTTGCATGGTGACGTCAGCACTGACGTTGCCATTGCCAGCGAGCTCAAGGCCTGGCAGTTGTTAGTTAGGCAGTCTGACGGACTTGCCGGAGCCCACTAATTACCTCCTTTATTTTGGGTTGGTAGAGCTACTTTTGTGGGATTAGGGGCAATTAAACCTAATTGTTTGGGCATTTTGAGCACCGGTGGACTTGCTCTAAGATCTAGAAGAAAGGGACTGCTCAAAAGATATGGGTCCATTACTTTTCCTTGACGTTGTTAACCTGAAAATCGATTCTTGTTTTGGTTTGATTGGCTATATTAATAACTAAACTACTTATTTATAATCACAATTGAAAAAATTAAACTAAAACAAAATTAAATTAACGAGAAGTCAAAATAGGATGGGATCAAAATCGGATTTCTAGAAAAGACGGAGCAAGTGTTTCATTTGGTGTCAAATAATTGGACAGTGCGGTCGTGGTTGATAGCGGCCGCGTTCAACTTTGGTTAAATTATATTTGAAGGTGACCTTGTTGACTTTCATGCCAAATTTGACGGCTCCCAAAGAAAAACCAGCCAAGTTGTGTGCTTAATGTCCATTTTGTATTATTTAATTTAGCTTTTACTTTTAGACCGTGTTTGGATCCAAGGATTTGGTTTCAATTACATTTTTTTTCCTTGTTCGTGCCAGCAGCACGCGGCTGGCGGGGCTTGAAGATTTTACCACTTATATTTTGTAGCTCAAAAAGGTAAACTCTAACTTCATTTTCGACACTTTGTTCTGCTCAATGTAATCCATGCACTCATTATTTGTGTCTCTCTTTACTTCATTCCGTCAATTGAGTTAAATGATGTGTTAGTTTTGTTGACGTGTTGAGCAGTGGTGGATGAGCAGTGGATAAAGTCGGACAAAACAGAATGTAGAGGATAAAATGAGATTTCGTGTACAATACATGCGACAACGCTAAAAATAAGCCTAATTTTTACGTACAAACCTCAATCGATGAATATGGCCTCTTTTTCGGTGCTCAGTCTACCGTATTCATAGTCGCTGAACACACGAAACTGTCAAAAACACTTCAGATTTCTTATTTCCTTGTTCTAAAACATGTTATAAACCTTTCGTTCATATATGTTTTCATACGAGTAGCAAAAATGCACAACATTCTTCAGAAGCTCTAGTCGAGCATTCAACCAGTGTTCACCCTATTCTCAAGAACAGCAAAAATTCGCATACATTGCAACAAACCGAATAAAATGGAGACATTAATTTACATTAGCAAGATTTTTTTTTCAACGGTATGTACGACGAATAAATTTGGTGCAGACAACAATAGATTCATCCTAACATGGCTTCGAGAGGGACTCGGACTTGAATACTGGTTAAGTATACATAGAGTATGTTCTAATGAAAAATCCACTTCAAAATTGGCCATCTGATGTTTCATTTACTAACTGGTAATATAGTATGGGACTGAAGAAAGTATTTACTGTACAGGGAAGAGCGTCTCTCTCTGTGTTGTGTATGTGTGGTATGCCGATGTCATGGGGTTCCAGGAATCCAGCTCCAAGAAGACCATGAATAGAAATGTGTAATTTCATAGCTTATCCAGCTCGATGTCTGGAAGAAAAGGTTGGATTTTCTGTCACTTGCGTCCCAGGTCTGCTCTTCTCAAATCGAGCACGCCGAGCATATTCTTGGATCTGGCGGTCATGTTCTTTAAGCATCCGATCCACATTGTTTGAAGATGCAAATAATGGACCAGACATGTAAATTTTGTTTCCCTTGCGCCCACGACCATGCTGCAGAAAGAATTTTGAAGAAGAATTTAGGTTCAGCTAACTGGAATAAGTATCAGAGCTCTGGCAGGATCTAGAGTATGCAATATTTGTGACACAAACTAAATAGTTTTATTGAGAAAGACAAAACTAACCATATTTGGTTCCTTAATAGAGGCCGTCTCATCTTCCATCTGACGAGAACTGCTAACTCTCTGTGTGTAATGCATCCACTCCTGCTTTTTTGCGGATTCCTCCTGATCAAATGACCCCGGAAATCTGCCTACTGGCTTTATTGTTTCTGGTCCTGAGGGACCAGGTTTTTCTTGTTGGTTGTCGGACATCGCAGTCCTAGCCATTACTAAACCAGATAATTTCGACAAGTTGGTTCTATTTGAACTCAAAAAAGAATCATTGTGTTCCCTTCCAGACTTAGCCCGTCCAGGTTCATGGATTAGTGGTCCTGAAACTGAAGCCCTCATATTATGCTGCTCTGCGAAATCTTTTCTAGCGTCTTTATCGCTTCGCAAATGTTTGGGTGGATCAACCAGAAAACCAGAAAGGGTTTCCCCCCTATGAGGGTTGAATATTTCACTTCGGATCTTTGGGTTGGAATGGCCTTGTCCTCTCTGTAATTGGAGAGCAAATGTAATCATAAAGAAATAAACAGAGGCAGAAGAAGCATTTATATAAGAATGACAGTGTATGTGATTGTGAACAGAGTGGAGAATTCAGTTTCAAAAGAAAGATCTTCACAAGCATTTCTTCACAAGTTCGACAAAAATGTACATCCAAAATATTTTTGTTAGAACCGTCCCCTAATATAAACACACAATGTTGAAACACAGTTCATAAATTCCTCCTCCGCCAAGCAGATATGAACTACTTGATTCAAAAGTGAATCTAGACAGTTAATACAGTATGTGCCGGTAGAACAGGCAGCTACCCTCCAATGTAATGTACGTAAAATAAAATGAAAACAACAACAATTCCTAAATAATTCTTTTTAGGTTTTAGTTTTACGGATTTTCCTTCACTTCTTCGTCACATGTCTCCAATTTCATCTCCCTCTTCCTCTTTCCGTATATTTTCCCTTACATGAAAGGAAAACTATAAACCAAACTTCTAGACATTATGACATGGGCCCTAATTACGAGTCATGGGGTAACTAAAAGATACTCAAAACTACAATCCGTAAATTTTGAAATTGAAGCATTTTCAAATATCCTTTTGTATACAAAACTACAATTACAATTTTCACCAGGACTTATAGATGACTTTGGTCTTTAGCAGCTCACTTCAATGTCAAACAAAATCCTACCTTAAACACGAAGATATAAAACTTAATTTTAATTACCTGCAATGACGCAATGGACTCGGAGTTAGTATTTGTTCCTGTAACTGCTACAGCTTGTGCTCTCCTGCCCAGGTCTACCTTCTGACCCCTTCCTCCACTGGCTCCTTGCCTAAAAAAAGTGCAAAAAAAATATTAACCTTGTATCATCTTTGTCAAAAAGTATTAATGTGTTACCAATAAGACGTACCTTCTAGCTTCTTCTTCTCGCAATTTGGCATCAATCTCTTTGCTGGGTGGGTACTTGGGCAAACTTGAAGGATCACAAGGAAAAGGCTTTGTGGTGAAGAACTGTTGAAAGAACATTCATAATTACAACAGAGAAAGGATAGGCCTCTTAGATGATTAAACAAAACAGTTTCAAGGTTCTAAAGGAAAAGGAACAATCGTAAGCACAGTTTCCGAAAGATAATTTAATTCTGTTCCACACATCCTTCTCCCAGCCTAAATCAGGTAACACAAACTTTTAGGAATAAATAGGACACACACACACACACACATATATATATATTATATAACTAAAATATCAGCATTGGCACCAATTTATTTATTTATTTTTTGCAGTTTCCAGAAAATAAAGCGTGCACACCTCATTCTTGAGAGCAATTGCAGCAGTTCCTCGATCAGCAGGGTCAAGAGAAAGTAAAATTTCCATAAGCTGCAGAGCTGAAGCAGGAAGGTCCTTAAAAGTCTCTGCCACGCATCTTCTATAAGGTTGAGGAGGCTTGATCATTGTTGAATTTCGTAAGTGCAATTTACGCCAATAATCCTGAGCTGGTGAACCACAGAGCTTGAAAATCTTATGCAACTGTTCAACCTTTAACAAGGAAATATACATAAATTAATAGGCACCATCTAATATGTACAGTTACTGACACATTCAAGGAAAGGCTAAGCAAAATATTTTCCAACATATGTGTTTATGGTTTATCTGTTAGACAAGCGAGGAAGAAGAGAAATTCACTTTAAAGTCAAACAAACAGTGGGGAAATGTAGCTGTGAAGAACAAGCAGCATTGCCAATGCCTCACACTAAGTCCACAGAATATGTGAAACACTTGCCAAGGACGTAAATTGCAACTCAAATCTATGGTTCATATAAATCCGTCGAGATACATCAAGACTGTACTCTAGCTATTCTCTCACCTGATGCGTTTAATATATAGAAACTCCAAATATTCTAAGATGATAATCATATTTACGTCATAAATTAAACTGTTACAATGAAAGAATTGGGCATGATTAGTCAGATACTCAAGATCATCTGCAAGTTTAAAATAAAAATCAAGAGCTAAGAGATCAGTTCTTTATCATTTTAGCATAATGCAATGGGAATTGTTATTGGCACTCCAAACTTTCTATATTTAGAAAGAAAAATACACTTGTGAGGAGTGCAAAATGAGATTTTTGGAGTGCCAATAACAATTCCCAATGTAATCCGTAATAACTTCACAAAGACATGTCAAGAGTCCAATAATGATTCAAGCTAAACCATAGGACATAAAAATGCATGGATTCTAAGAGGGTACATTTCCTCAATATCTTACCTCTGTTTTTCCTGGCAGGATAGGCTTTCCAGAATACAATTCTCCTAGTATGCAACCAGTGCTCCATAAATCCACAGCAACACCATATTTAGAGGCTCCAAGTAAAAGTTCTGGAGGTCGATACCAAAGAGTCACAACGCGGCTTGTCAATGGAACATTGTGACGAGGATCATAATTGCTTGCCAAGCCAAAGTCGGCAATTTTCAAGATGCCATTGTTGTCAAGAAGAAGATTTGACCCCTTTATGTCACGATGCAAAATACCATGGCTATGACAGTGATTAAGACCACTTAAGAGTTGCTGCATGTAACATTTCACCTAAAATGAAATAAAAGCAACACTAAAATTAGGTATCGTACAGGGTCCTCGTTTCATTCTGTATAAATGGGCTATTTTATTTGCATCAATCTGCGGTAGAGAGGCCCATCAAAAAGATCTACCAACATTTCTCCTTTAGAGGAAAGAACCGTAAAGATAAGAACGTAAGAGAACCGTAAGTGATAGACTACCTGAGGTTCGGAGAACTTAGTGCCTGGGCGTGATACAAGCCCTGTAAGATCATGTTCCATATACTCAAAAACAAGGTACAAGCTGCTAGATGACCGTGCTGTGATCAATCCATGCAACTTTATTATATTGGGATGATCAAGCCTGCGCAAGAAAAGGATCTCCCTTGCCATAAACTTGACACTCTCAGAATCGAGATTATCAAACCTGACTTTTTTCAAAGCAACAAATTTATCATTCGTGACATCGCGAGCCTTGTAAACACTACTATAAGTTCCTTGGCCGATCTGAAAGAAGAAAATGCCACAATATGCAAAAAGAACAAAGATCAGGAACTGATAAATTTTAAAATGAACAAGAGTAATTAACCGCACAATCATAGTAGCTAGAAAAAGAATTGCCACAGCATTTAGAAAACCGCCAATTTTCTTTTTCGAATATTGTTAGTTGACTCCCTAGACAATAGCCTTAGTTATACAATAATACAAGAGATATACGTATCAAGTATTTGAACATACTTTATTTAACTTCTCGAACGTGTCAGCGCGTCGTGGTATCCATCCATTGATAGCTTCAGGAGCTGCCGCAGCGAGCCAACCTGGCCATCCTGCCGCTGTTTGCTCGGCCACCGCAGCGTTGGGAATTCTTCCCGAACCCAGATGATCAAGAAAAGTAGCCTCAGCCCTGTCTATCTTCTTACTCTTAGTCTGATCATATGATCGCATTGAACCATTGACTTTCTTATCCACCAACATAACTTTTACATCCCCACCACCACCCAATCTATCTTTAATCCAAACTGGATCCTCTCTTTTCGAAGAACCGAATCGCGAAACCTTAAGCTCGGAGTGGCGCCGGCTCGAAATCGAAGATGTCCTTTTTGGTGGGCTTTCCCGGCTATCTTCGACTGCCGACGGCTTGGTACATATTAAACCCATGTTGAACTAGAAACAAATATACTAACACCCACAAAACACAAAACCCTCCTCCACAAGCAAAATTCACCACCCCAAAGGGCCAAAACCAATCCAAACCTTCACAAAACCTCCTTCTTTACCCAACTCCATCACAAAGAATCTAAACCAAAGAATCAACTATCCATAATTCACCTTCCAAAGAACTCATACTTCACCCTATACCCACTTCACCTCACAAACATTCAATATTCACCCTATATACAACACTCGGGAAAAACCCCCAAAAATGCTATTTTTTGACAAATTCAAATTTACCCATATCCCCAAATTCAATCCAAAATTTCGAATTTGCAGAAGAATCTCCAATTCTTTGATGAAAGATGAAAAAGTGAGAAAAACCCAGAAAGGCTAAGGCTTTGGGCTCAGTGCTATGGGTACCGATTAGACTAGGACTGTATTGAAGTATGGAAATTTTGGAAAATGAAAGATGAAAAAACGATTGAGAAATCGATTGAGAAAGAAAGAGTGTTAAATTACCAAGAAAGTGCAGAAGCAGAAGCAGCAGGCTTGTTTGTGGGTTGTGGTTGGTTTGTGGATGTATTGTTGGGTTGATTGTTCAACGCGCATTCAAAAGATTAAATATTTAATACAAAATGATTAACATAATACAGACGGCATTTACCGCCTGTTTTGCTCAGTCAACAAAACACACGCACGCATACTTGTCTCTCTTCTCTTCTAGATCAACAGGCCTACAGTCTACTTACTCAAACTGAAGAAAACACCAAAAGAAACAAACAAATTAGGTGTTAATAATGCTTCCATCAATCCTTTTTTATTCAAACCCTCCCTCCCAACGATTAACAACCCTCACTCAACTCAACTTGAGTTTCAAGTAGCAAAAGTGAGATTCAAGTGAAGTTCAAGGAGTATAGCCAAAAAAAAAAAAAAAAAAAAAGTCATTTTTTATGATCTGTTTCACCTTGGGGTGATTTGTACGAAAATGATAAATTCAAGGACTAAAATATTTAGGGGTATATTAGTAAGGATAATCGTTATTTTGATGTAACACACGCGTGAATTTGAAAAGTTTTATTTACAAAGTGCAGTGTCGAACCTGAAATACATATGGCTAGATTCAACCAGTTTAACAAAACACGCTCTGGGATCTTTGAAACTCATTGTGTAATGGACTTGGCATGGTCTGAAAGTAATTGCCCCTTCTCAAGGGGATGCGTCTTAAAAGAGGATAGTTAGAGACGATTGCGGGATCATGATTTTTAAGATCCCAAAATGTAACCAGATTGGCTAGCAAGCACCAGAGTGAGCACACTAACTGTATTAGGTTCACCGAATTGAGGTATTGAAGCAAGTCGGTTTGATACACTCCGGATTGGTAGGCAAGATCCGTTTCCCTAAGGAAGACCTATTTGTCGACCAAGAAAGGGAAACCTATTCATACCTTGATTAGGGAAGTATCTTGAGTATTTAGGAATTCCAATCATAATGAAATTGACAGTCGTCCCAATCTTCATCCTACAAGGAAGAAAGTCTTTTCTTAGAACTTACACTAGAATTCTCTCAGCTTTACAAGGATTACTATCCTTAGACCAACTCCAATGGTTAGGGTTAAAGCTTAAATTTGTAGTCTATAAAATTTAGGTTCTAGCTAAGAAACAGTTTTTCCTCTTTAATGATTTTTACTTAAAATTTTAGTTCAAGATTATTACATAATGATATTAGCTTAATTCGGTAACTTTTTAAAAAATAAAATTTGTATAGATTATCCTAATTTATTTTTACAAACATTTTAAACTAAAAATATTTAAATTCTGATAAATAATAAAAAATCAATAAACCTATGAAAGAACATGAAAAACCGCACAAACTATCCCATTATTAAACACAAATACATAGGGAGTAGGATTCTCTCCTCTCTCTCTCTTTTTCCCTCCCCTTCTCTCCCCTCCTATTTGAACAGTTACGGTTATGCCACGTCAATATCTTATTTTATATTTATTTTTTTTTATAGAAAGACAAAATAGAGAATGTGAGAGGAGGGGAGAGAATCCTAGTCCAATACATAGGTGGGTAGAAAGAAAAAGGAAGAATTGTATGACGAAAGTGAATGTTGTGTAGATGTTTGAACAAATACATAAGTATTTATAGAGTTTTTGGGTGAATTTTGATTCAAATAATTCTTTAAATTGTTTTAACTGTTTAATTTAATTTTTATCCGTTTGATCTCATTGTAGATCTTTGCCGTTCTATTTAATGTATTTATAAATTTGAATTTGAACTGTTGTATCAACCAACAGTTCAACCATGTGAATTGTCAAATCAAAAATATTCTATTCGTCTTTCTACAAGTGGCCTATAATGTTAGTAGCTAGTTTCCATCCATTATCCTTAGACATACTCCAACCCTTGGAGTAAAACCTAAATTTTAGGTTCTAAAGTTACCTCAACTTTGACACACCCCGACCGAGATCAGAGTGTGCTGGCCGTCACGTGGAAGTGACATAGCCATGTGCACAGTGCGGAAGTTAAAAGAAGTAATACAAAAGTACGAATAATTTAAAAACTAGCATACACAATGTGATAAGGTAAGTGCTAGCGTAAGTGAGACGCGGAATTCAGAGCATAAATCTACAGCAGTCCAAAATAAATAACTCGACAATAGTGCACCCGAAGGTGACCCTACATCAGTGAGTGTCTGTCAGAAATGTCGGGACGCCCTCTGGGAAAACCACCGAAACTGCTAGACCACTAGAACCTGGAGGGGTGCAAAACAAAAGCGTGAGTGGGCAAAAACAAAGCTCTTTAAAAACCACTTAATAAAATACATTCTAACCCGTAGCCGTAAAACCTGTATACTTCCCAGAAAATAAACATATGCACGTATACAATAAATATGCCAAGCATGCTCAAGGATATGCCATATCAAATCTCATGATGAAATGCAAGTGCCCAGTTATAATCGTATCGATAACATATCACTGGCAGCCGGAGTCCCCTAAGTGACATGTACGGTTGAATCTAGAGTTCAAATCTCAATCTCAATCACTAACCTGCCCACGAGTCGGAACCACCTATAGTGGTCTGTACGACAGGCATGGGTGTAATACATATAAACGCTCTAGTGCTACGATCACGTGAAGGCTGTGCGAATAATCGCGGGTCACCTACGAGTCGGAACCACCTATAGTGGTCTGTACGACAAGACTGTGCACCTAACTTGGATCCAAGCTGAGCGTGTGGTGCGGGAGGTGAACGACACGTGAAGGATTGTGCCCTACTCTGGGCGGGAGCACTAACACCGGGAGTGCAGGTTATGAGCTCTCTAAGCATCTCTAATCACTATTGAATGCAATTATGAAATAACGCTTACCTGGCACTTACCTGTGCATCCACAGCACCAATTATGCATACGTATATATATACGATTAATAAAGCCACTAATGATGCATAAGGAACAATAATATAACACATGGCATATAATTAATAACATTTAAATCAATTTCTGGGAAAATAATAGTATATAGGTATATACGGAAAACCAAAAGCCCACTCACTGGTACGCGGAAGGGTCATAGCCCCCCTGCCTCGCGTGAGCACGCTCGTCCTCGGGATACGTGTCACCTATATGCGAAAATACTATAAAAACGTTAATTTTAAAGCACATAACCCTCCGTTCAAAATAACTTCTCATACATTGCTCAAAATGGACAATTGAATATACCAACGTGCTCTACACAACCTCAGGATCATAACCATATTTTTAGAAAAATTTTCCACCGCCGCACGCGCCGCCACGCGCCGGCCACGCGCAGGCACGTGCGGTGCACACGGATGGCGTCAACTGACGCCGTTGGGAATATTCCGTCAGTTTTGACAGATTCCGTTAACGGCGTCAGGAATATTCTATCAGATTTGACGGAATATTCCGTCTCCTTCTCCGGCGAGCCTCCGGCGCCGGAAAACTGGGAAATTTTCTAACTTCGTTTTCTCTCTCGTTTTTCAACCAATTTCCATGATTCAAACACCAAAATGAAGCTTAGGACTAGTAGAACAACGTTAGACCACTTTTAAAGCCTAAAAGTCACGAAATCATACCTGTCTCCAAACTCAAAAACCGGCCATCTTTGAACCAAGCTATCCCGACGTCAAAACACTTCCAACGAAGCACTCTAAGGCTCCTTGGGACCTCACTAAGACACCTATGAGCTTCAAAAGTCCAAAAACATGCTAGAATAAGTTTGCATGAATAGTACTCAAATCGGAGCTTGTAAAATCGACGTGAAAACGTCGAAGTCCCTACCTGAAAATGGTATGATCGTGCTCCCCTCGACCTCACGATCACGACTGTGCCCTTGGTTTCCTCGATCTGCTACGATTTGATGGTTCTTGGTGTGTGTCCGTACGTTTGAAGGGGGAGGAAGAAGGAATGAGGACTCGGGGGGGGGGGAGAGAGAGACAGAGAAAATGACAGAGGGAGAGGGAGAGTGAGACAGTGTGTGTGTGTGTGGCCCAACACTTGCCAACACCACACAAACAACCAAACAACATAGCAAAACAAACTAGGGGTAAAAGGGTCATTTCACATATGTGTTTCGATAGTTTCAGGACGGGATGTCACAACTTGGTCCAACCCTTGAAACAAATATGAGTTTCTCATTTTTGGATCAAATTTAGCCCATTATTCCTCCTAAGTTAGTGGGGCTGACCCACTATATATGTATATTTTTTTTTTAGTACTTATAAATTCTTTGAATCCAACGGTTAAGATCTAATTTGATCAAATCCAACGGTAAAAAAAATATATAATGGTTCAAATTTAAACCCAAAGGCTAAAATAATTAAAAAAAATTATATTATGTGTTTCATATTCTTTCGTAGTGTTTTACGAATTTCATAGTGTCAGTTTAGTGAGTTTTCAATATTTATAGGAATCTAAATATTTTTAGATTAAAATGTTCATAAAATTAAGTTAGAATAGTCTACATAATTTGTTTTTTTTTAAGTTACTTTAAGAAAAAAAAATATTCTAAATTAATTGTTTAATAATCTCGAACTAAAAATTTAACCCAAAAGGATTAGAGGAGAAAAACAGTTTCTGAATTAAAACCTAAATTTTTTGGATTGAAAATTTTAGATCGTCTTAGCTCATTTTCCAATCTAAATTTGTCTCAAAAATGAGTTTTAACCCAAAAAGCTTTCTTAGCCTAATAATCTACGACATTGATATTTAATCTAAATTTGCTTATCAAATGTAATGTAATTGTAATTGTAATTGTATCAATCCGTTTTAATTTGATGTAATTGTGTGTATCAATCCGTTTTATTGGCAAAGATTCAACGAAGCCACTGGTCAAGAAGTGTCACTATCCACAAGTCCTTATCTCTACGTTTAAATTTGACCGGACTTCTTTATTTTCGTTCCACGTCCGCCACCGTCTCTCTCTTTACGTCTCACTCTACAATTACCACCGATCCTCCACCATTATCTCTTCCTTCGTCTGTCACTTGAAGTTTGAAGCGTCGCCATCGTCTCTGCCCTTCTCTCATCCTCATTCCTCACTCAGACGCTCTCTCTCAGCCTTACCTGAAATTTGAAAGAAAGGTATGAGTTTATTTTTGGGGAAAATTATTCAAATTGATTTGGGGTTTCAGTGGAAATTAGAGATTTGTTAATGCATGATGAGTGAGTTAAATTCGCCGGGATTTGGTTATGCATAAATTATACATGGCGTCAGCCCCTTTTTTTTAAAAAACAATGAGAATTACAGCGTATTCAGCTTCAACTATATCAATAGTTTATTTTATAAGACACGATTTAAAAGTCATTTTTGCAAAAATTCAATTCAATTTAAAATTATTTATCTATTTAATTGTCATAATATAATTTAGATGTTTTTTAAACTGAAGTGTTCATCAATTTTTTTGAACTCAATTAGATGCTTCAAATATTTTCAATTTGGTTAATATTTTGCAATAATAATCTATAAGATGCAACTTGAAAAATAGACGATTTGAATCATTAAAATGCAATGTGGTGTGAGCCATTAATTCCATTTTCTTTTATCCCTGTCATTTTAGCCAAAATGGTGGGGAGATTAGCATAACTCATCAGTTTGGCCTCTAAGATTTAAAATCAAAATAAGTGGTTTGTCAGTTTGTTCACCGTCAATTATCTTGATCATTCTGTGAAAAGTATCTGATAATAAAAATCAAAATGACAAATATACATTCAATTTAATAAACAATATGTCGAAATAATTTGTCAAAATTGAGGGTGTTGTTGACATATTGGTCCTTATTTAAAGAATTTTATTTTTACGAAATAATCAAAATAATTGACGGTTGTAAATGTAAACGCATTTATTAATTTTTAATCTCAGGAGTACCAACATGAGAAGCATTTTGGCTAATAGCCTAATGCATTTCTGTATATGGATAAATTTGCCCAACCATTTGTGCAAGCACGCACACTCATCTTTTTGCTCACCTAAATTAGCTGCAGCGTCTCCATTAAACTTTCCGCTCACTCATCTCTTGAGCCATGGCCACCGCGAGAGTGTTGACTGTCTCCGATACTTCCTGCTTACTCTCCAAAACGACGTCGTTCCCGGTGAAGCAGAGTCCCTACGGCACCAGCCTTCGCTTTACTAGGAGAAGAGTAGCATCATTGTCGTCTTCCTCCAGGAGGTCCTTCAATTGCACAGCTATCTACAAACCCGAAGTTCAGATCAGGGAGGAAGGCCAGCCTGAAACCCTAGACTACCGGCTCTTCTTCGTCGATCGCTCTGGTCAAAAGGTTATCTTCTTCCCGTTTTCCATTTTCTGTTGTGTTTTGTTTGGATTATGAGAAAAATGCAGGATAAAAGTAAATAATGTGAAAGCTTCCCATATGTGCATATATGGGGTTATGATTGAGGGATTTAAATGTTTATATATATATATATATATATTTATAGATATTCAATTTTTTCAGCTAATGGCTTGATATTAATTTCAAGTGGCATATATCATTTGCTTCATTGAGGCCTCTCTGTTTCAAAACTTTGAACTTGATTTTAAATTTGCAATTTTCCAGATTATGTTGTTTTGTTTTGGCGGGATTCGGGAAAATGGAGTCGATGAAATGAAATGAGACATTCAGTAACCACGTTAGGGCCTTAGACATGACTGATGGAATGCCCTGGTTTGTGCTTATAGGAATATGTTTATGTGTTTTCTTAGTTTGAGATTAAGTCCTTGACTATATGTGTGTAATCGTAGTTCGAACTTGTATTTAAACAGCATATGTAAATGTAATTGTAAAGGGAATTTCAAAATTTAGGTGTGTTGAGTCCTGGTTGGTCTCTACACACTAATTAGTTCACTTTTGTCTCAACTTGCTATAACAATCTGTTGGTTTATACATAGGTTTCGCCTTGGCATGACATACCTTTGCAAGTGGGTGATGGTGCATTCAACTTTGTGGTTGAAATACCCAAAGAATCAAGTGCAAAGATGGAGGTTGCTACTGATGAGCCACACACCCCGATAAAGCAGGATACAAAGAAGGGCAAACTTCGTTACTACCCGTAAGAATTAATTTTTTTCTTTTCCTAAAGTTATTTTATAGTGTTTGTTCTTGTCCTGGTGCTTGGATATGTTACCCGGATCAATATAATTTTTGGCTAAGAGTGCATCATGAATTAGACGCAAGCCACTGTTGGTGCTAGTTTTTTATTTATTGATTTACTTTTAAATTCCTTAAAGTTATCTTTTTGTGAATACCTTCAGTAAATCATTCTCAGGTACAATATAAATTGGAATTATGGGTTGCTTCCGCAAACTTGGGAAGACCCAACCCTTGCTAACGCTGAAGTTGAAGGAGCCTTTGGGGATAATGATCCAGGTATGCTTGCTTATCCTTTTTTTTTTGCCGCTTTTTTTCCTAAGGCAAGTGTCACATTTAGAAGGAGAAATAAAACCTTTGTTTTTGCTACAACTTGTAGTTGATGTTGTTGAGATAGGCGATAGTCGGAGAAGGATTGGCGAGATTCTCAAGGTAAAGCCTTTGGCTGCTTTAGCTATGATTGATGAAGGGGAGCTTGATTGGAAAATTATTGCAATTTCATTGGATGATCCAAGGGCTTCTCTCGTTAATGACATTGATGATGTTGAGAAGCATTTCCTGGTATGTACTGTTTTCTAACCAAGCACTATTAAGATTTCCATAATTACACACCACCATAGCCATTTTAATCATTGTATTTATTATTTAGGTGTTTTCAGTTTTTAAATTCGTTGTTACATGATATTTTTACTAAATGAGAATGGATAGTTAGTTACAATGTATCTATCTTCATAAACTAGATGAACTAAGTAGTAAGTTTTTTTTGAAAGGACACAGTGTGTGTGTGGTGGTTTGAGAAAATTTTGTACTGAAATGAAGTAAATGATGATAAATGCTTTTCACAGAGACTGTATTTGAGGATACAATTCTTGTGGAAGACAACAACTTAAGGCTTTGTTGTGCATATCAGATCTTATTTTAATCGTAATGAATCTTTTAACCACATTACCTTTGGATTTTACTAATTGCTAGCGATGTATGGTTTACTTCAGGGGACTCTCACTGCAATAAGGGACTGGTTTAGAGACTACAAGATACCAGATGGAAAGCCGGCTAACAAGTTTGGTCTTGGCAACAAAGCAGCAAACAAGGTAAATTTACAGTTACCTCTTCAGTTGCTATCCACGAATCCTTTTTGGGTACTATTTTGTTTTGTTTTTTTGTTTTTTTTTTTTTTTTAATTTATCTTGACTGCCAAATTACTATTTTTCCTTTATCTCCTGATTGGTTCCTTTATCGATTCAGTCACTAGCTTTCAAGGGCCCTACCCTCTGGCCTAGTAGCATAGTGCTTCATGCAAAATGCAAGTGTTGCAAGGAGGCATGACAAGATTTGTCCAATTAAAATCTGATTTTCTAATTTCAAAGTCTTCAATATTTGCATCTATAATACATAATTAATATAAGAATGTCTCTTTATGGTAATCGAACTTGAGTGTGCTAAAGAGTTGACTTAAAAACCGGCCAGTGGGATTGGGGTGCAGTTTGGAGGGTTTAAATCAAGGGTTAGGTACTTGTTTTCTATGCAGTTTATTTATTTCTGACTTTTGATATGTTTGATATGTCGGAGGAGTCAATATTTAGGAATAGGCACGCTTTAAACTCAATTCCACTTGGACTTGAGTGTATTAACGAGTTGACTTAAAAACCAGCCAGTGGGATTGGGGTGCAGTTTGGAGGGTTTAAAGCAATGGTGAGGTATTTGTTTTCTATTCGGTTCAGTTATTTCTGACTTTGATACGTTTGATATGTCGTTGGAGTCAATATTTAGGAATAGGCACGCTTTATACACAATTCCACATGATCCACAACATGAAGGCGGTCGAAACATTTGACACACGATACACAAATCTACCTTAGCTGGGGAGTAATTGCAAGTCTATTCATGCATCGATGTGGAATTAGTGGGTGGTAGTCATGGCATGAAGGAAAATATAACTGCCATGTAATTAGGTAGCGAACTTTGCTTTGGGTTCTAGTTAGTTTTGGGTTTTAGTGGTTTCTTCTTTTTTATCTGTCTTGTTTGAATACGAGGTTTTATTTAGTTTGACAGATGATAATGATACCCCTAGTCTGTTTAAGTAATCATCCAACAGTTAATGTGATTATTTAAGTATTTTGGAAGGTCAGGATTGAATAATTATTTAAGTAATGAACTGGTAGGATTCTTGGGTTGCTATAACTGGACTGTTTCAAGAGGATTTGAATTCAGATTCTTATCTAACTTATCCCCAACGAAATCATCTTTGCGATAGAACTCAGTGATCTACATTCCAATTTCATCCTATTTCTTTTTCTGAATCGTTTGTTGTTTCTTTTTATGGATAGGATTATATATCTTAGTAATTACCCTCCTAAGAGGCTTTGTGCAGCATATTCATAAATTTCAGATTATAGACTTCTCTGTTTGGGTTTCTGCCCCTAGAATTAAGTATTGATGCTCCATCTTCGACCTTATTACTTATTAGCTCATACTTTCGTCTATTTGTTGCTGGAAATATGTATCTAGTGTTCGGATATATTGTGGTTCGGTATTGTCTGCTAGACAGCAGTATAACACCTATTGTCACAAATTACCTTCGTCTGTCTGTGTTTGTTGTACTTTTTATCTAATTCTAGAAACTATTCGTATGATGAACAGGATTATGCTCTTAAGGTCATAACCGAAACTAATGAATCATGGGCCAAGCTTGTCAAGAGATCGATTCCTGCTGGAGAATTGTCACTTGTATAGATGCATTGGTTGAATTGGAATTCCAGGCGTTTATCATCTTGCACTCATGGTGATTCATTAGAGATTTTTCCTTTTGGCGAACCGGCGGTGCTGTTAAATGAAAATATTGATTCAATGTCAATTTTTGCGTCAGTCGGCTGGACTAAGCACGGTGAGTAATTTAATACTAGCTTGGTTTTATTAGAGCTTATTTCTTTATACGGTAATCATGCTTGGTGCTTAAGTAATGGTTAATTTGCCATGCACTTCTTTTATCTTTTGAGCTGTTGTGTTTACACCCATATTGCTTCTCTCGACACCCAATTTACTTGAACGCTTTTCTCTGGATACCCAAAATAACGTACTAATCTTCTAAGAAGACCCTTCTTTTACTTTCAATGAAATAATATTTCGTTAGACGCCGATTTTCATTGTATGTTGGTATGAAGGCTTTCTCTTCGATTTGGCTATTGCGCTTTTGTTTTAAAAAATAATAATAATATGATGAGAACTGTGACTTGCAACTAAAGCAACTTAAGAAAGATTAGTATTTGGTTTAGCAATTTTTCTATAAGGAATGTTTGGTTCCTTCATCTGCAGTTTACATCGTAGTCGATTCATAGATCTTTGTGTTTCTAATTGGAATCATTTATATCATATACCTCTGTAAAAATCATTTTGTCAATCAATTTCAACAAATAAATAAACAGTCCATAATACTTTTACTGAATACATTTATTACATATTTTTTTAATTATTTTTATAACGATAATTTTTACAAAATGATTTATGATATTAATAATTTTAATCAAAAGTTTGAAAATTTATATGTTAAAAAAGAACTCCTCTCAATCCATTAAGGAAGAGGGTTTTTTTCGGATCCACTTTGTGGGGATCGTAAGGATCCTCATATTCTAATCGTTCATTGTATATCGTGTGGTTATTTTTTTTCATATACTATTTGTGTTTAATTTTAAATAAAAAATATTAAATAATTTTTAATCGCATGATACACGATGAATGGTTAGATCTTTAAGATTGCTAAGTGAATCCGGATAAGATCCAATTCCATTGGAAACCAAGCTAAACCCTGTTCTTCCCTTGGGCTTGTAAACACACAAGGAGCGCGTCCGCACGCTTTTCCCGTACGGAATCAATGATCGTCTGGAAATAACCGCACGCTCTTCAAGTGCGCGTTTCAAACTATCATCCCACTTACCCACCCCATGTTTAATGTCAACCTTTTTCCATCATCAATTCTCCGATCGACTCAGACAGACAGATTGCTCAACAAAATCTCCAAAACCAACCCACCCCAAAGCCCAGGTAGGATTTTGGAATAATTCCCCGCAGATTTCCTTTTCAAAAAAAATCCAAAAATCCCAGCTGTTTCAATGGCGGACACCACCGCAGCAGAAGAAGAGCAAGAAGCGCCGCCGCCGCAGCCATCGTACTACACGTTGTTTCTGAGAATTATGAGCAAAAGGAGAACATGGGTATGTATATTCGTGTTAGTATACGCCCTCCTCCTAACTTCTTCATGGAATTTCCTCAAATCCTTGCTCTCCTGGCACAAATTGCAAGCCCAACAGTCTTCCCCGTCGTACGGATGGCCTGCCCTTTACGCCTCGGTTCTTCTGGGGGTGGTTTTCGGGCTGCTTTCGATGTTCGCGGCGCTTGCAGTGATTGTTCCGGTGACTCTGATGACGTGGATCGCCATCGTGGTTCTGCTGGCCTTCTTCGGGAAGCCGAGGAGGGCGTTGGTGGTGGACGGCGGGAAGATTACGAGAGAGATTGTTGGGATTGTGATGAGGATTTTGTTGAAGGAAGGGAATTTGGTGGCTGCTGGTTGTGCTGTTCTGGGGTATTTTGCACTTTTTAGGAGGAATGGGGAGTGAAGTGATTGACTGATTTGGTTGTTCGGGGTCTTTTTCTAATTTGTGAAGATTTCAGGGATCTGGGGTTTTGGATTTTGTAACATAACATCTTACTTGTTTTGATTTTACTGTGGTATCTGACTGTTAATTATTTGTTGTGTTTATCTATATCCTTCCCAAATTTAGCAATTTTATGGCTAATTTATAATAACACAAAGGCTTTGTGTGTTTTGGGAAATTTCGAGTAGTTGTGCTGAAAAATTGAGTGTGCAAGGGAGTAAATGTATTAACTTTCGAGCCACAAATACAAGTTCGAATCTCCCTCCCGATAGTATGATATCCGACTCAAATCTTTCTTATCCGAAATCCGATGGACCAAAATATTGAACTTGGTGTCACTTTAATGTGTTAAATGGCATTGAAATGATTTGGGCGAGGGAAGTTTGTTGAATTTGTTGTGTCTTTCTTGCCTTTAAAGTTTAAAGATATCAAACTTAGAAGCTTCCCCAAACATAGCCAACCCCAACAGTATAAAACTGCTCAAAGCAGGAGGTGGAGTTGAATTACAGACTACCCAGCAATCGGTAACCAGCACTCTGTCTGTGCTTGCTTGCTTGCTGTTTTTTGGTTCCCTTAAACTGAACCGCCTGATTACCAAGAGATTACTACCGAATCATAATGTGAGGACGACAGTGCCCGATGACCAACCGAGGACAATTCCAGTCTGGTAAACCCTAGAATATGGAACGCTAGTCAAGTTTACACTATCGAATTCAAGAAAGCCGTCCTAGAACTAGGTACATAACATAATATTGGAGAAAGTTTGTTGTCCTTGAAGTAGGCCCAAAACTCTGACCCATGTGCCGGTATTCTACTCTAATCTACACTCAAATGAGAGAGCTTGATACTAGAATGCGGTGGATTAAAGAAGAAAGCTCTAACTACCAAGACAATTCACCACTTGCAGGTGAGAATCACATTGATTCTAACTTAACTTATAAAAACTGTATATTTATAAAAATGAAAAAGAAAAAAGAAATATTAGTAATTATATAATTTCCCTAAGCTTAAAGCTTCACTGCTTGAGAGCCATTGAAAGTGCAATGCCATTAGTGCAAATGTAGGGCATGATGCCGACAGGCAATGGAAACTTCCATATGCTAGCTAGTCATAGCATGTCACCTGTCTTATGGCAAAGCATCTCATCCTTTGGCCTTTGTGTTTGGTAATATCCTTGTTGATGGATCAATCCCTGGATCTGAACGGCTCAAGAGACCTCACTCTTGCCTCAATGGCTCAAATACGTACCAGAAAGAGAGCAGTTTCGCCACCACTGGATCATATTACTTGCCAAATTGTCACCCGCATACATCAGTACAAAACAATGTAACGGTGAACAAATTACATTACTGCAACTTAATTTTGTTGGTAATTTTATTTTATGAGATGAATGGATTGGTTGAGGATGATAGGATTAGTGGCACACATTCCCTCGACTGACAGATCAACACGTGTGCGAGTGCAACTGATCCTAATATCTTCTTCACACGATTTTAGATTTACAAATGTTATGAGGGTGCATAGATATAGAGGTGCATTTGGGTAAGGTGGGTGGATAGTGTACTATTATCACAAAATAGTAACCTCATCGTCAATAATTTTTTTACTTGTAATTAGGTTTGAATACTAAGTTATTTTTTTCATTCTTTAGTATAAATATATTGTTGCCTATGTGTATATAATATCACATATAATGTGACAAGTGATGAGTAAAAATTGCCACGTCACAATGATTGTATCTCGTTGAATGTTGATTTTTATATATTTCTTTTATTTTGTTCTTATTAATCAACAATTTCATACATAGCTAGACCGACCCTCACAAATTGCAAATACTAATTTGTTAAGAATTAATCGGATTAAAGTTATAGGGTCATCATTCACTTGAATCGAAATATCTGCGAGATATAGATCACAACTTGTATTGATTAAACAAATTGTTAGAATTCTCAAAGTAACACGGTGGAAGTTATAGATAAAAAGGATACGAATGGTTACCCTTAAGTTTTTGGAACACTAGAGAATTAAGAAAAAAAAACTCTCAAATTTCGATAAATAATATGATAAGATAATTAAAATACAATCCTAAAAGTCGTTTAAATAGTCTTAGCAAACCCTAACTCCAAATGAGAAAAAAAATTAAACAAATAACAAAATATCAAAAATATTTAAATCACATTTTGGGCTAGTAGACGCTGGAATTCGGCCAATTTTTACTAGGCTTGTTGTTATCTTGTAGATCTCATCGTTTTCTTTAAATCCATATGTAATGAGCTCAAAACTGACACGTCAAACGAAAATTACGTTAGTCCAAACAACTTAAAAAATCAAAATATTCACTTCTGGAATATACTAGTAGCAAATAACCTTTTAACCCATCAATTACTATGAAGCATGAGTTTGTCAAAATAGTGACGAATTGCGCTCGGGGACCTAAAGTGGGACCGAGAGCAGCATAACTCGTTAGGATTCGGCTTGGCACGACAGGAAACGGCTTTGAATCACCATGTAAGAAAAGAGAACGCCGTCCTATTTGCCAGAAAAATTGGAAGGACTTTCGTTTTCACTAGATCTTAGTTCTTACGAGAGAGAGAGAGAGAGAGAGAGAGAGAGAGAGAGAGAGGGGGGGTTAGAAAGAGATGATGAAATTGGGGTTCCACCATAAAACCAATTGGTAATATGGGAAGCAATCCAAGATCATATAAGTACATAGCAAACCTTGTCCCTCACCAATTCTTAACACTTTTCTTGATTAAATGTCGCATTTTCTTTTGATTTTTCTGTACATAAAATAACATAAATTTTATCCTGTGTCGTAAAATGACCAACCTTATTACAATACCGAGCAACCCCATCATATATGTATTCCATCAAAATATGTTTGCAAGTGAAATAATTATCTATTCAACATAGCTGCATCCCTTTTCAAAAAACAAATGTTAATTGAATATATCTTATACCACAATGCGATATTGAAATGTTGTATAATTGTGTAAATATGTAGTAAGCTTAGCCTTACTTTTTAAACTGATGGAGATAATAATTTGTGCCAATTATTTTGTCTGAAAAATAATGGAATGATGAAGATGATGTTTTCTTTTAACATGGATGAAAAAGATGATTTTTTGGCTATCACACCTCTCATCTCTTTATTATTTATTTTCTAAAATCTAAACACACAAAGTTATATAAAAAGGTGCGAAATCGCAATCGCAAGCTCTAAAAAGTAGTAATTATTGCAGTTAATATTATTTAGGAATATAATTGTGTAAATTTAGAAATATAATCCAAATAGGATTTGGGGGATAAAATATCTTTATGACTTGTATTACTTCTGAGGCAAGTAAAGACCACTTGATTAGTATAAATAAAGGCATAAAGCCACAAGAGAATAGGTGATGAGTTTTCTCTTTCTCTCTCTCTTGATGTCCATCTCCTGCCCTCAACCACTAAAATTTCCTTCAACAATAACCTTTTTTTTTTTAACAAATGATATTATCTGCACTAAGGGGAAATGTGGGTGGGCTTAGCCTCATAGTGGGCTAATAATAATGTAGTTCAAATCCGTGTTTGGCGAGAATGAAACCTAAAACCTCTCACTTACAAGTGAAAGAATATATCACTAAACCGTAGTGCTAAGTGGCAGTAGCCACTTAATAATTGGAATAAAATGATTAGGATTTAGGACGAAACAATTATCAATTTTTAATAAGGGCTCAAATTATGTACAACAATTAGGAGGAAGTAAGGAATCATTCTTCTTCCCTTTCTTTTCTTTTGCTAAAGGGAAAGAACCCTCAACTTCAATCCTTATTTTCTTTTTCTTTTTTTAAATTAGACCAAAGATTTCTCCAATGAAGAACAAAGCATCTACCAACTCCAGCACATTGCCTTAATAATTAACAGTCTTTCACTTTAGTTCCTAAATTGGTTTTATTGTATACTATACTTCTCCAACTTTCTTTTAATGCCTCATTTGTCTCCTTATCATCACTTTGGTTTGTTCACGTGATGTGCACCTCATCAACATTTGAGGGGCAAAAATGTTAATATAAGGCCATGTATACTTCACGGATAAGAGTGTTACTGTGTTCATTCACTTGTCGTATTTTTCATTCAGTTATTAGTGTAAATGTTTATGATAACTACATACAAAGTGAGCAGGAAAAAAGAACGGGTGAACGTTGGTAGTGACACTCACTAACAATCTTAAACATTATGTAAGACTGTTGGGGAGTAACGGTCTTGAGTTTTTTCAGAGTGATGTTGAAATGGATTCCAACAATGAATTTTACCCTTTGACAAAAAATAAAAAATAAATAAATAAAAACTAAAGACAGCTTGATTAAGGAGATTAAAAGAGAGCAATATTTATAGTACCAAAATACCTCCCGCTTTGCAAACTATCGAAAAACCTCGAAACCTTGCGCCATTCCTTTTACATGTCCATGATCACAACGGTGTGCCAAACTGTTGGTGCACTGTGCAGAAATCTTGAACTCCTCAACAGCCTCAAATGCCGCTGATTTGCTTCCTGCTGCAGAGAACTTCAACTGCTTTTCTTAACCCCCGGCCTATGTAAAACGATCTTCCTCCTTAACCAACTCCCCATTGTAACACAGCAGCATGGAAGTTCCATCCCTTTCTGCTGAACAATGGCATTTGTTCACAGATGTCATGTAGGACTTTGCATCTCATGAAAACATATCAGTACTTCTAGTTAACCTCGACTTTCATGAATACTGAACACTGAATACAACAAACGTTTCAAGCCACTCCGAAACTTGTCGCCAATTTGGAAATTCAAGGTCTACCATACTACATTTCTAAATGCTATATTTACACAAATTCAAAGGTCCAAAACTGCAGAATTTTCAATGAGTTCAACTAAAAAATTATGAAAATAAATCATTCTCAAAAATAGATAGTGGGTAAAGCATAATATAGTAGAATGCAACAGCATACGATTTGGACGGTTACACTCCGTCCGTCACTCCTGCGGAAGAGACGTTTCTGTTTTGAGTGTTTTGTTTTGGTAGAAAATGAAGGAGGAGACAGTTTCTTCAATTAAATGTTGTATGGTGTTTTGAAATCTGTGTCAGGGGGTTTCGTTGGGTGCCTTTAGGGCG